TAAAACCGAAATCAGTTTGATAAATGTTTATTGAGCAAACTCTTGTGCCATAGACAATGGAGGGTGTATTGCAGGGTTAGTTAGAAAGGAAGTCCCTGTTCTGAGAGAGTGAGGTTGCTATCTAGTAAGAGAGAGAAACCATGGATAATCTTTTGACCCTAAAGAGACAAAATCAAGTTTTCTCTTTAGAGTTGAGTAAATATTAGAACATAGGATTTTTAATGACAATAGGAAATACTCTCTGCCTATTTTCTGATGCCTGAATTTTTTTTCACATGGAAACAATAGATTTTTTTAATATGCCTTTATTGAATTCAGAGAGAGAAAGGGAGAGAGATAGAAACATCAATGATGAGAGAGTCATTGATCAGCTGCTTCCTGCACACCCCTTACTGGGAATCGAGCCCGCAACCCGGCATGTGCCCTGACCGGGAATCTAACCACGAAGCGATTTCCTGGGTCATAGGTCGATGCTCAACTGCTGAGGCATGCCGGCCAGGCAATAGTTTTTATTTTTTAAATTGAGATAATAGGTATAAAATACTTGAGAAAGATTTATTCCTAGTAAAGTATACTTAGCAAACTTCTGGCATCAGATTTTGTTTTGATAGAGGAGAAAGGAATAGCACCAAAAGATAAAAAATATTTTATTAGATTCAGACCTTTATGTTTTGTTAGGGAAAGCTGTACAGAAGTATCTTTATCTCATTTGTTCCCAGCTTACACAGTGCCATTCCTTGCTGTTGACATACCACATTATTGATAATGTGGGCAAATTTATCACCCACATTAAAAACCTCATAAGATTTACCAGATAGATCCTCATTTCCCTGATTTAATTTGTTTATAGTTGGAGAGTGGAGCAGGAGTTTGTTTCTGGAGTAGACATTTTTATCTGCCAACATAGTGTTATTTAGCTGTTGTTTTAAGAACAGGAATGCCACTTACATTTGAAGTGGTATTTAGCCCAAATAGTCATAGTTACGTGGATGAGTATTTCATGCACTGGATTGTTGGTTGAGGTCTTCCCTTTACTGGTCTTTTGAGAAATTTAATGGAAACCCTAGCTACCATGTGATTCAGAATCAGTGAGAAATGTTTCTTCCCTGTGTTCTCTGCCACTAATGTATACTTTTTGGAAACATGCTATTGGTTTTTTCAGAAAAAAAGGATCTTCAAAACTTTTCATTTCAATGGGGTTCAGTCTCCTTTTCTTGAATCAAATATTTTCCAGCTAAAAATGTGTTTTTTGGCTTAACTTTTTATTAATAATCATTAATAGTTCAACAAATAAGCAAATTTATTAGCAACTTCAGAAAGCATACTTTATAATTTTCAGAGATAAGGGCATATGTTGGCTTTGGAATTAGTGTAAATGATTGATTACACCATTCAGATTAGACTGTGTCCCAGTTTGGAATCTAACTTGAATTTTTGAGTATGATATGGAATTTGCTCAGCCTTTAAAAAGAGTTTTGAATTAATGACACGTCTATAATTTTGTTCTCCTTACATGAGCTCTGTCTCTTCTCTAATAGAAAGATGTCATGTTTCTCTAGTCTCACCTTGAAGAAGTTATCTGAAGTTGTGTTTCTCTTTAAAACTTGAGGAAAGTGAAAGTACAAGTCACAGAGAGAATTTCATACGGACATTCAGTGGCAAATGAGCCAGGCTTGGTAACCTTTTGGAATAAAATAGGCGTCTTTGGAAAACCTGACTCTGAAATAGGATCTTACAATTATAAAAATTACTTTTTAGATAGGAAATTGAGAAGTTTCTAGTCAGGATCTTTTTTGGCATTTTACCCAATTCTGTCCAAAAGTAGGGGGCTTAAAATTTTAGATGTTTTGATTCTCTAAAGAATGAGAATTTTTATGATATGAGAGTAATGACTAGGAAAACCTTATTATATAACTTGAATCTATCCCTACTAGAGATATGAAAATATTTCATAATCAAATTTTTCTACAAATAGTAAAAATAAAAAAATTATATGGGGAAAAGTCGAAGATCCAATGTTTAGGCCAAATTATTCAACCATTTACACCTTTTGTAGACTTATTATTTTTCTGTGCCTTGCAGAGTTGATTATAAAGACAGGCCAAGTCCTTGCCCCAAATAAGGGTGGGGAGGCAGTATTGAGCAGTTTTGATATTCTAAGTGCTTTACATTTATTTTTATAATCTCATAAATCTGCTAGAAAGTCCTCTTTTTCTAATGAGGGAACTGGAGTCCAAAGAGGTAAAACCACTGGACTAGTAATTAATTAGTGGATTTGAACCCATGAATAAGTATAGTCAGAGCAAGTAATGATGGTTGCTATCACAAAGTGCCAATAGGACAATTGAGAAAGAAGAAAAATCCTATCTTAAGAGAGATCAGTTGAGACTTTGTGAGGGGGATTTAGTTTGACCTCGAGTAGAAAGGAGAAACTTTGAATTAGGAATTCATTTTTATCCTCAGAATGCCATTATCTGAAAGAAACCTCAAATATGTTTTGGATTTGAGGCAGTTGCCAAGCCCTGTCTCCCAGGTTTGGGTTAGAATCCTGGGCTTCCAAATTCTACTTTTGAAACCCAGGCTTGACTATAAAGTTAGTATGATACGAGTTTTTGCTACACCCTATGTAGTACCAGGATAGCTTTTCATAGAAAGGGATGCAATTTGGATTTGTTTTACTGACATCTTCTCATTTTCTTCCCTCCCTGCCTCCAATTATGTTGTGGTAGGAATTTGAAATAGAATGTCTTCAGGATGACGTGGACATAGTCTTATCCCCTTCAACTTCAAGGTTGCACCAAGTGTCTTGCTGAATGATTGGAAAGTTTAATCTCTGTCTGACTTATCCTGGAGACTGCAAACTTGGATAAAATACTCATTCTTTTATTTTTATTTTAGAGAAGGAAACATTGATTTGTTGTTCCTCTTATTTATGCATTTATTGATTGATTCTTATATGCGCCCTGACTGGGGATCAAACCTGCAACTTCGGCATATTGGGACAACAACTCTAACCAACTGTGCTACCTGGCCAGAGCAAAATTCTCATTCTTTTAGACAGTGTCCTGTAGCTTGGGAAGTAACTCCTAATGTGATGAAATATTTGTAAGAGGAAAGGAAATGACTAGCCACAGGTAGATTTTCCAGGCTTATTGGGTAGCTCAGAGAAAACAGCAGATGTGAAAAAACACACATACATTTTGTTTAAGTCTTGAGAGCCTGTTAAATGTTTGTGGTGGAAAAAGAACTAGGTTTGTGTCCCATAGTAATCATATAATAGTCCTGACAAGCTCTCTCTCTCTGCTTCATTTTCTTTAGAAGGAGGAAATTGGAATTCATGTTTATTTAAAATAATTGATCCTCCATCTTAAAGCGGTTTTTATAAAAATAGTAATTCTAGGCAACAAGCCTCAGTAAAACAATTTTGCCATTGTGGAGTACTTGAGCGTCCCCAAAATAAAGGTAAATAAAATAAGACTAACCGGTTTTAGACAGCCGTGGTCTTTCCTAAAGTTCTATAACCATTTTTCCTGAAAAAATGCAGTACTTCCATTTATATAGGAGGGATTATTACTATGTCAGTCCATGTGAATGTACATACACATATATATGTTGTAGAGGTGCTTCACTTCTCCCCAACCCTTTTAGAGTTGATGGCTTTGTTCCCGATTGTTCAGTATAATGGTTTGCAGATTCACTAAGAGAGCTTGTGTAGTAATGCTTGCTTTTTTTTTTTTTTTTCCCTCTCTTCCACTCTTGTTTTATTTTTACCTTTTTTTCTTTGTGATGTGAAATTTTCAGCTGATGTATTGAAAGCAAATCCTTCTAATTTGGGAGCCCAGATCACAAGAGTGAGTTTTTCTACTGGTGTCTTTAGTTGTCTATCTTTCTTTGTGTGTGTCTTTCTACCCTTTTCCCCTCCCAATTCAAAACTATTCAAAACACATTTCATAAATATTAGATAAGAAAATTCCTCTGTCTGTTGAACATCATGACCTTTCCACAAAGCAATGTCCACTTTATATTGGGTCAAATTCTTTTTCCCAATGCTGTTGTAAAAGCATAGGCTAATACATGTGTTTGGGTTTGGTTTGTTTTTTATATTATCTAGTGCGTTAAAAATAATTTTAGTTCTGTCTTCATTGCAGATAGATATCCCTGGACTCTGTCACCAGTGTGTCATAGCACTGATCTTTTTTGGTTCTTCTTTTGTTTTAAGGAAAATTATAGCTTCTGAGAATAAAAGATCCTTTCTTTTATTAGGATTTTAAGTAATAAATTCTTTGACTCATCTCTATCCTCCCTCCTCATCCCCTGGATGTTCCTCTTGGGGCCATGAAGCAATGAAAAGCTACACATATTACTGTCTAATTTCAGCAGACTGACCAGTTGAAATGCTGTCAGACTGGTGAGCTCTGAACATGCTAGCATTGGAAGATGGTTGGTTTGTTAGTTACAGGAAAACTGTTAATGCTTAAAAGAAATAATAGCACCTTTTATGGTGAAATAAAAGTATGCTTTCTATTTGTTAGTTCTCATTCAGATAACCTCCCCATGTAAGCTGTACATTGCTTTTTAAGATCTTACACCACCTGGGTAGTTTTCTGTACTAGCTTAACCCCTTTCTGTTCTCTTTGGCTTGTGTAATTACAATTTATCTCGTGCTCTATTTGTCTAGTTTTTCATCCTGGAAGAGCAGGTGACTAAATAGTCCCTTTTCTTTCCTCCTAGTGTTCTAAAATTTACTTGTTGCTTCTGACATCATAAGTTTGCCCAATAAAGCAAATGGTATGATATCCTAATTAGAAATGCAGGTATTCCAAGTGTTTTACCCAAAGTAATCAGCCATTGTGTTTTCAAATACCAGAAGAGAGTATAACAATGTATTACACACTAGCACTATAACCATTGATTGAGGGTAAATTTTAAAGGCCTTGCTTTCAGGGTCCCCAAGTTACTCTAAATCACCCACCCTCTGTTCCCTTCTTTTGTTACCCCAGAGATTGAAAGATCTCAAGCAGAGAGAGTTTGCTCGAAATGTTTCTTCAAGATCCCGCAAGGATGAGAAGAAACAGGAAAAAGCCCTTCGGCGACTCCATGAATTGGCAGAGCAAAGAAAACAAGCTGAATGGTGAGGATATTTTCTCTTAGAGTGTCTATGGATAATTATAATCCTTAAGATTTAAGAATTAAGTTGTTTAAGTTTTTAATAGATCCTTCTTTCAACCTAAAAGCATGTCTACACATGGAGTATAATATACTGATTAAGAGGATGCTCATCTGACACCATGTCCTACAGTCTATGTTACCTTAAATTCTCTATGCCTCAGTTTCCTTATCTATAAGATGGAGATGGTAAGAACAGTCTACTACTTACAGTTGTGAGGAGTGACTAAGTTATTACATTAAAGTGCTTATAAGAGTGCCTGTCTCCAACATTCTTCCTATGTAGACAAGCACATATCTTACAGTATTGTATTTTATAGCTAAAAAAGTACTGGGGCACAGATTCAAGTATTGTAACTTCCTTTTAATACTATAAAATTAGTACTAAACACTCTGAAATCTCAGCTGCTGATCCACACCAACCAGCCAGGCTCCTTCATCATTCTTGATTAACAGTTTGGCGCTAGTATTTTGCCTGAAGTAGAATTATTGCACCTCGGGCTGAATTTCTAAGCAACTAGACTTTGGGGACCCAGTCTTTGAGCATGTGAGGATTCATGAGGTATATGCCTCAGTCAGAAGGACTAGATCTCCCCATGTTTATTTGTTTTGTTTTGTGGAGTTGGGGTTTTTTCCCCTTTATATTATTTTGTTATTTTTTTCTATCACCATTTATTCCCCCATATACCCTCTTCTATCTCCACCCACTCCAACACCACCCCCACCCCCATGTTTGTTTTTTATGGCTGGCCAGGACCAAAGGAAGGAACTGGTTACAGTTAAAAGAGAAACCGAGTGTGCCTATTAAAAGTTTACAGCTCAGTTGGGGCCAGAGTTTCCAAGTTCCTGGACTTACAAGGTTTATTTTTGTCTTTGGATCCTTTTTTACTTAATTTACTTCTCTTAATGTTTGGAGACAGAAGGAAGGGAGAAAACACATATAGTGTAAGTTTTGACCAGAATTAACCTATCAACTCTAATGTTGAGTTAAACTGTCTATAGATTCTTTCTTTGGCAGCTCTTTATATAGTAAAACATGTTCCTCTTGGGTGTGTTGCAAGGGTACCTTCTTAAAAAGTATATAACAGGCCACTTTCTAGTTCAGACATATTTTAATACATGTTTTTCTTCAGAGGTGACTTTTAGTTTTCAGTTTTACAAACAAACAGCTAAAAGATGATTGAGTAATCTCTTGGGAGAAGAAAAGAAGGTTTTGAACCCTCACCAGGTATTTCATTGCCTAGGAGTAATGCATACCCCCTTAGTAAGTATTACTGAAGTAACAGGGCAAAGACTAAGCAAAATATCAAAATCAGTCCCCTTTTTATTCAATTGAGGGTTTCTTTGCTGTGGGGTAGGTTTTGTGACACAGTGTAAGTATCTGTTGCTATCCACATCTGTTGGGTTCCCATTGTACAATAGCAAGAGTTCAGATAGCAAGAGATACCACATTATCCAAATATATTTGATTCCTGCGTTTAGGACAGGTAGTAGCTAGGGTTCAGATAACGAGGACTTCATCCAAATAGATATCTAATGCTCTTCATTCTTCAGTTTAGCTTGAAAGATACCTTTATAGTTCACACACTATTAATAATTGCAGACATACAGGAATTTAAAACGCTGGCTTTGAGGCTCCTCAGTGTTCCTGTTTTCAAAGCTGAGAAAGTCCTTAGTAGTATCATGATCATTGTATGGAATGCCCAGAAAGAATGAAAACCAAAGCAGGTGCTTGGGTGTGGTGCCCAGGAGATAGGCACATACCCTTAGTTTCTAAAATAGATATACTAGCCACAGACTGCCATAGAGTACCACAGTGGAGGTCTCTGATTATGTTTAACTCAGAGAATGTGTACCTTTTTTTTTTAAATGAAATTTTAAAGCAGAAAATTAGGGTGTTGATTTTTTTTTAGCTGAATAGAACCTTTGTGAATAGATGTTCACCCATACATTTGATAGCATAAGGATGGGTAGGATGATACAATAAGAAATGAGCATGGATATGGGACGGGTAGACTGTACCAGATAGTAATGTTAAAGTATTTTAATTTTAGATACCTTAGGAAGAAATAGTAGTAATTGCCTAGTTTTGAAAATTAACAGTATGAGACTTTGCCTGACCTCACTGAGAGAGTTCCTTTCATTAGCACAAGGCTAGGGAATGACCACCACTCAGTGTCTTTCAGACCTACCTGTGAAGAATGATAGAACATGAGGTAAGTGTTTTATAAGAAGTAGGAAATGTACTCCTAAACCAAATTTTTCTTTTTCTTCTTTTCATTTTTCTAAACCATTGTCTAGTGCACCTGGAAGTGGTCCTATGTTCAGACCAACCACAGTGGCTGTAGATGAAGAAGGTGGAGATGATGATAAAGATGAATCAGCTACAAACAGTGGCATAAGTGCCCCTGCCACTTGCGGACTGGGATCTGAATTCTCTACAGATAAAGGAGGCCCTTTCACTGCAGTACAAGTCACTAATACCACTGGACTGGCACAGGCTTCTGGGTTAGTCTCCCAAGGGGTCAGCTTTGGCATTAAGAATAATCTGGGTACCCCATTGCAGAAATTGGGAGTGTCATTTTCTTTTGCCAAGAAGGCTCCTGTCAAACTCGAATCAATAGCATCAGTTTTCAAGGACCACGCAGAGGAAGGGACCTCTGAGGATGGAATAAAAGCTGATGAGAAAGGTTCTGACCAAGGACCGCAGAAGGTGGGAGACTCTGATGGTGGTAGTAATCTCGATAGTAAAAGAGAGGATGAAGACCCTCAGGATGGAGGGTCTCTTGCCTCAACATTGTCTAAGTTAAAAAGAATGAAACGAGAAGAAGGAGCTGGGGCTACAGAGCCAGAGTATTACCACTACATCCCCCCAGCACACTGCAAAGTAAAACCTAATTTTCCCTTCCTGCTCTTTATGAGAGCCAGTGAACAAATGGAAGGTGATAATAGTACACACCCAAAGAATGCCCTAGAGAGCAAAAAAAGCAATTCTCCCAAGCCTAAACGTTTCAAGGCGGCAGCAGGCCCAGGAGCAGAAAAGACAGTTAGTGAAGTCTCCGACCAGCAGACAGACACTGGTGTGGCTGAGCCCTCAGAACCTGGAAGCAAAGCTGAAACAAAGAAGGCCTCAGGAGGGGATATAAGTGAGCAGGGTTTAGAGAGTCAGAGTCAGAAGGCTTCAGTGATCCAAATGTGTGAGTCTAACCCTTCTAAAGAAACTTCTCAGACCACCCCACCAGGGAAAGAAAGCCATGAGGGACCCAAACATCCTACTGGTCCCTTCTTTCCAGTTTTGAGCAAAGATGAAAGCACTGCCCTCCAGTGGCCATCAGAACTATTGATTTTCACCAAGGCAGAACCCTCCATTTCATACAGTTGTAACCCTTTATACTTTGACTTCAAACTTTCAAGGAACAAAGATGCCAGAGGTAAAGGGACAGAAAAACCAAAGGACATAGGAGGCCCTTCAAAGGACCATATCCAAGGCCTTGATCCTGGTGAGCCAAATAAAAACAAGGAAGGAGAGAACGTAGAACATTCCTCAGGAGACAAAATGGATGCACCTGCTTCAGGATCTGCCTGTAGCAGCTTGAATAAGCAGGAGCCTGGCGGCAGCCATGGATCAGAAACAGAAGACACAGGGAGAAGCCTTCCTAGCAAGAAAGAACGGTCTGGGAAGTCACACCGACACAAAAAGAAAAAGAAGCACAAAAAATCCAGCAAACACAAACGGAAACACAAGGCTGACCCAGAAGAGAGAAGCTCTAAGGTTGAGTCTGGGGAGAAGTCTAAGAAGCGCAAGAAACGAAAACGAAAGAAGAATAAGTCAGCCCCAGCGGATTCTGAGCGGGGACCCAAACCAGAACCCCCTGGGAGTGGTAGCCCTGCACCACCAAGACGGCGGCGGCGAGCTCAAGACGATTCCCAGCGGAGATCCCTCCCCGGTGAAGAAGGGAGCAGTGGCAAGAAGGATGAAGGTGGAAGTGGTGGCAGTTCTCAAGATCATGGTGGGAGGAAACATAAAGGTGAACCTCCAACTTCGTCCTGCCAGCGAAGAGCTAGTACCAAACGGAGCAGCCGGTCCAGTCATCGGAGTCGGCCCAGTAGTGGAGACGAAGATAGTGATGATGCTTCCTCACGCCGGCTGCACCAGAAGTCTCCATCCCAGTACAGTGAGGAGGAGGAGGAAGAGGAGGAGGAGGAAGACTCGGGCAGTGAGCATTCCCATAGCCGCTCACGGTCTGGCCGGCGCCATTCCTCACACCGTTCCTCCCGCCGTTCTTACTCAAGTAGCTCAGATGCTTCTTCAGACCAGAGCTGCTATAGTAGACAGCGCAGTTATTCTGATGACAGCTATAGTGACTATAGCGACCGATCACGAAGGCACTCAAAGCGCTCCCATGATTCTGATGACTCAGACTACACCAGCTCCAAGCACCGGTCCAAACGGCACAAATACTCATCTTCTGATGATGACTATAGCCTCAGTTGCAGCCAGTCCCGAAGCCGGTCTCGGAGTCATACCAGGGAGCGCTCAAGATCCCGGGGCCGCAGCCGCAGCAGTAGTTGCAGTCGCAGCCGGAGCAAACGGAGAAGCCGTAGTACCACAGCCCACAGTTGGCAGCGAAGCCGGAGCTATAGCCGGGACCGCAGCCGTAGCACCAGAAGCCCTTCCCAGAGATCAGGCTCCAGGAAGGGATCATGGGGTCATGAGAGCCCTGAGGAGAGGCGTTCTGGTCGTCGAGACTTCATTCGCTCTAAAATCTACCGCTCCCAGTCTCCTCATTATTTCCGATCAGGCCGGGGAGAAGGCCATGAGAAGAAGGAAGATGGCAGAGGAGATGATGGTAAAGGGACAGGCCCACCCTCTCAGAACAGCATCGTTGGCACAGGAAGGGGATCAGAGGGTGACTGCAGCCCTGAAGATAAGAACTCTCTCACTGCCAAACTGCTCCTGGAGAAGATCCAGTCAAGGAAAGTGGAGAGGAAACCCAGTGTGAGTGAGGAGGTGCTGGCCACCCCTAATAAAGCTGGGCTAAAGCTCAAGGACCCCCCACAAGGTTACTTTGGGCCCAAACTCCCCCCCTCTCTTGGCAGTAAGCCTGTCCTTCCACTGATAGGGAAGCTGCCAGCTACCCGAAAGCCCAACACCAAGAAATGTGAAGAGTCTGGCTTAGAAAGGGGGGAAGAGCAAGAACAGTCAGAGACAGAAGAAGGGCCTCCAGGGAATAGTGATGCCCCATTTGGACATCAGTACCCCTCAGAGGAAACAGCTGGCCCCTTATCAGACCCACCTCCAGAAGAGCCAAAATCTGAAGAAGCTACTGCTGATCACCCTGTGGCTCCACTAGGCACCCCAGTGCACTCTGATTGCTATCCTGGGGACCCAGCCATCTCCCATAACTACCTCCCTGACCCCAGTGACGGGGACACCCTAGAGTCATTGGATAGTCAGCCAGGCCCTGTGGAATCTAACTTGCTGCCTCTAGTGCCAAAACTTGAGCACTTCTCCAGTTATGCACCTCCCAGTGGGGAGCCTAGTATTGAGTCAGCCGATGGGGCCGAGGATGCTTCCCTGGCCCCCCTGGAGAGCCAGCCCATCACCTTCACACCCGAGGAGATGGAGAAATACAGCAAACTCCAGCAGGCCGCACAGCAACACATCCAGCAGCAGCTTCTAGCCAAGCAAGTGAAGGCCTTTCCAGCCTCTGCTGCCCTGGCCCCAGCCACTCCAGCCCTACAGCCCATCCACATTCAGCAGCCGGCCACAGCCTCTGCCACCTCCATCACAACTGTTCAGCATGCCATCTTGCAGCATCATGCCGCAGCAGCTGCTGCTGCCATTGGCATTCACCCCCACCCTCATCCCCAGCCACTCGCCCAAGTACATCATATTCCCCAGCCCCACTTGACCCCCATTTCCTTGTCCCACCTCACTCACTCAATCATCCCTGGCCATCCTGCCACCTTTCTCGCTAGCCATCCCATTCACATCATTCCCGCCTCGGCCATCCATCCTGGACCCTTCACCTTCCACCCTGTCCCACATGCTGCCCTCTACCCTACCCTACTTGCCCCACGGCCTGCTGCAGCAGCTGCCACTGCCCTCCACCTTCACCCGCTTCTTCACCCCATCTTCTCAGGTCAGGACCTGCAGCACCCCCCCGGTCATGGCACATGAGTTGAGGGATGAGAGCCCAGGTAGGACCAGGGAAGGTGATCTATAAGTCTTCCCTTAGGGCTGTTGAGCCATTAATACCAGCAAGTAGAAGCTGGGATGGGCAGTGTCTGATAGCCAAAGAATCGAGTTTTGGCTTGCAGGGGTGGTTTTAGATTTTGGGGTTTGCTTTGGGTTCACTATCAGGGATTTTCCCCCCTTTCCTTTTGTCCCTCTCTCTCTTGTCTTTCTAGGCTAGGGAACACCAGTAAGTGCTACCCACCCCTCTGCGGCAACATCTCCAGATGGGCAAGTTTAGATACTTCCCTCCTCCCTCTACTTTTTAACCTCTACTCTTCCCTTCTATAAATTTTAAAATACTTTCCTCCTCTCTGGCTGGCGGGTTGTCCATCTGATCCTGCCTTCCCATTGTCTTTGACCATCCCTTGGTGACCTTGTGTTGTCCTGGGTGAGGTGGAAAGGGAGTCAGACCTGGAATCAGATGCTACTCAGGCTGTTTTTCGATCCACTTCCCACATAAGGAGCCACACATTTGGCACTGTTGTCCTCGTGTCCCTCATCCCAGAAGAGACATCGGAATATCCCAGAAAAAAGATCCTATCATGATTACAAGCTATGCGGAACATAGAGTCGCCCCTGTGCTTCCCCAGAGAGGAGCTTGTATGTTTGAAGGGTGTATTTTCTTCTGTCATGTTGATGTTTCCTTCTTAATTTATAGGATTTTTCTTTTTAATGTAAAAAAATTGCACTGAACTCTATAAACGTAAATGCTGCTTTTTGTAGCTCATAAAAAAGGTTCCATATTTGTAGTATACTGCAATAATATTTTTTACATCCAGCTCTTTAAGTGATCCTTGTTCTGGTGGCTTTGTGTAAATATGTTTGCCCTAGTTGAATTAAGAAACTAAAAGTTATAAAATGAAAACAAAAAATAAAGTATTTGTTTTCTGCTAGATGCAAAATTGACTAAGCATGTATATTTTATCAAACTCATGTATTTTTTGAAGTTATGTACTATAAAAATGCTAAAACAAAAAAGAACATTGTTTAACATTTTTGCTGAGACAAAATGTTCAGTAATTTGCATTAAGTGTTGCCTCAGCACCGGGATTTTTGAACTAATGGACATCAGTCAGCTGGGGGTGTCAGGAATACTCAGCTATGACAGTTTCCCTCATGTGCTTTGCTGTTTTATACAGAGAAACAGGTGGGCCCCACAGAGGAGGAAGAAGTACAAGAGCTTTATTTGAAAGCAGTGAGATAGGTTGAGAGTGATTGGGGGTTTCCTGGGTGCCTTGTTCCAGGCAGTCCATTTGCCTTCCTAGTACTTAGCCTCCTCTGATATTTTTTTTTTTAATGTGCCTTTTGGGTTGGCTAGAAACAAATAGAAGTAGACTGGGGAATGATGGAGTTGGGACAGTTTTCTTCCTCCTTTTGTTGGGACATGAGCACACGTGTAGATACTGCAAATTCTTTTGCTTCATAATTTCCATGCCTTTAGCCCAGTTTTGCTTAAGCAGTAAAGATTCCCTTTCTCTCTTCTGTGACACCAGGACACCTACTAGAGGAAGTACCACCTCAATTCTTCCTCCTCTTGCCTTTCACCCAGGCTCTCAGACCTAATTAACACACTGACCCAAAGGGGTTTATATTGCAGGTTTCATCTTCTGTGGTGTAGTTAGCAGTACCCTGTTTGGCATTTCCCTACCTATTCCTGTGGCTAGAATTGGTTGGGTGGTCACCTAACAGGAAAAACAAACCCTACTTACCTGTGTTCTGCCATCTAGAATTCTCAAATGAGAAAGATTTTGAGTTTATGAGAAGCAAGTGCTGAGCAGACAAGGCTCTTGACTGAGCCTCATACCTGTTAAGTGTTCCTCGTGTGATTCAGAAGCATCACTTTTTTGATAACTAGCACTGGAAAAATGAAATGTCTTTGACGTGAGGGGACTCATTTTTCTTTGTTTTCAGCCCATGTAAATAATTTAAATAATACAGTATTAACATTTTTGTGCTATTACCCATTAGCTTGTAGTTCGAGCCATACTCTGGCTGCCTCTACCTTCCCGGGGGGCAGTTTTCTTTAACTTCCAGAATAGTGATTTTAAAACATAAAAAAGAAAGAACAACAAAATAGCCTATCCTTCCTTACAAGCATAACAGATTGTATTTAACTTTATCACATATGATAGAGATATATATGCTGTAAAATTAGGGAAAGGAACTTTCTAATAAACCAATGATTTGTGGAAACTTAGCAGAGTCTGTTGTGGTTGTTGCCCCATCCATTCAAGTTGGGAAGGGATGGAGTTACGGGTTACAAGTAACATGTTTTAAAGTGATCAAGGACTTGTGAACCAGTTGTTTATGTTTGGAATTGTGCTTCTCAGAGCTCAGGTTGCCCAAGTGAAGGGAGAAGATGATACTGTGGGAGGAAGTATCGTAAAGTTTCTCAGTCTTAGGTAGGTACCTTGGAATGTGCACCTCCTTCCCATTCATCCCCACAAGAATTTTCTTTTTCTCCCTTTACCTCCTCTTAGATACGTAATCTGTGTAGTAGAATGTATGGCGTGTAGGTGCTCACTAAATAAGTGGGTTTGGAATTTCTGACTTTGATTTTTAGGATTTTGGATAAACCTCAGGTCATTGGGATGACAAGAGTCATCTGCCTGCCTGCCTTTGCCCTCCCGATGCAGTTCTGTATACCAGAACCACTCAGAATATTCTCAACCCTTTAATACCAATACAGTGTTTGAGAGCTGCCTGGTGGAAGGAAATAGGCCTTGTTTCTGAGCTGATAAAAGCCTCTATCAAAAAATCACAAAAGGGAAAGTTTAGCATCAAAGCTAACCATAGATTATTTGTGATAGATTAGTTTCTCTTAGCCTTTCAGGAGGGAGTAATGCAATATCTGTTTCTTTCCTACTCTCATGACGGCTGTGTTCTCCCCTTGACTGAAGAGAATATTCAACTTGGACCTTGGGTTGGATGCTCAGATCTGCCTATTTTTGTAAAATAGCAAAATTCCTGCCCAGAATGAAAGGATGTTGAAAATAATTTTCTGAGCAGGGAAGGTGCAAGCAAAAGAAGCAGAGTAGAGAGTGTGCTTTGTGCAGGTGTGTGCAGCTGCCTGTCTCAGCTACCTGGGCTTGCAACATGGATATACTCCCGCTTCTACACCCTCAGTGACTCACTAACCCAGGCCTTGTCAAGCATTTCCAATCTTCTTTACCAGAGACACCTTCACTTCCCCCTCATCAACTCATCTCTGAATTTTTGCCCCATTTCCTAGCTGACCTCCCTGACTCTTAGTATATAATTCCCTGTCCCATATAAGCTTAATGGTTTTTTAGAATCTGAGTGCAGTTTTTTGTATTCACTGCTTCCCTATAAAATTATAAATTCTAAGAGGACAGGGACTGATTCTTATCCTTTTTTCTTAATTCCTTAGAGTGTTTTAAGGAGTTGAACACTTTTATATAGTCAACATTTTTATTATATGTCCAAGCAATATTTGAGCAAAGTAAAATACTGTTGACTGAGGATTATGCATCAGGATTTAGAAAGGAAACCAACCAAAGATGATAAAAGATTTTTTTTTTATATATCCACATCAACTAGCTCAGTGCCAGGCACATAGAAGTTCAATTGGAAACTTAATGAAGCCTTAACAGGACTTTGAATTCATTGAGGGATTCTAGCACTCAGGTGGCTGATGGGATGGAAAAGTGGGAGCAGTGTGTCAGCAGCACTGCTCCGTTCTATTAGAAGGAGATTAACCCAGCTCTGGTCCCAAAGGAACACCCAGAGAGGCAGAAGCCTTGTTGAATGCCACATTCCCCTCCCTTACCAAATCTGATGCTCCACCTGTTTTCAATTTCAGTTACTGGTACCACTGCCCTGCCAGCCAACAAGGCACCAAAGCTTCAAGGTACTTGACACCTCCCCACTACATTCATTTACTGATTGTTTCATCTCTGCTGTCTTTTGTTCCTGCCCTCTGTACCCTGGGTTAAGCCTCAGCGCCTCTAACCAAGAGGATTATAGTTGCTCTCCATCTGATCTTCCCAGTAAGTCATGACTTTTCCAGTTCCTTCTATCCACAGGCAGGCAGTGTAATCGTCTAAATCAGAGCACAATTAACATATCTCTTATTCTGTGACTTTAAAAATCTTTATGATTCTCCATCTACTCCAGGTTAAAGTTCAAATTCCTTTATAAGGCATTCAAGGCCCTCAAGTTATTTGACGCCAGCTTTCCAGTCCACTGTATCCTGAGTCAACTACTTGCCCCCCCCCATACTTTACCTCGATGTTCTCCCGCTCTGCTTAAAGAGAATGCCTAGCCCAGCCAGGTGTGGCTCAGTGGTTGAGTATCGGCCTAGGATCCAGGCAATCGGGGTTCGATTCCCGGTCAGGGCACATGCCTGGGTTGCGGGCTCGATCCCCAGTCGGCGTGCAGGAGGCAGCCGATCAATGACTCTTATCATTGATGTTTCTATCTCTCTCTCCCTCTCCTCGCCTCTCTCTGAAATCAATAAAGATATATTTTTTAAAAAAATGCTTAAAAACCTCTTCATTCTCTGACAAAAGGCAACATAGTGTAATGGTTAAGAACATGAATTTAAGCACAAACATGTTTGGATCTAACCATTGGCTATGTAAACTTGGGCAATTTACCTAAAACTGTGCCACAGTTTTGGCATTTATGAAATGGGCATAATAGTACCTATTTCATAGGTGGTTATGAAGAGCACATGATATAAATGATTTCAGCTAGACATAACCACCCTTTTCAAGGTATGCTTTACTCTTCCTCTGCTGCAGTTGTGTGTTCATGTCTTAACTCCTTCTGAATTGAGTTCTTTAGAGATCCTTGGTAAGGGATCTTTGTATCCCTACTACTCAGTGCCTTGAACAGAATAAGTACTTGTTAAAAACTTTAGTGAAATGTGAGTCAAAGTGGGGCTACACAGTATACACCAGTAATTACAGTACCACTCAGTTGAGGACAGTGGGAAGGTGGGAGGTAAGTATAAGACTGAGTTATGTATTCATTCTAATGATTTCCCAGCACTGGGAAATCAGCTGTGAAAAAGGCTTGGACTGAAGTTTAAGGAGCTTCTAACCTAGTAAGGGGTAGGATTTTGAGCTGTGTGCTGAGGTAGTGAATTAGGGGGAGGGAGGAGCCAAAGGGATTCCAGCACGGCACAGGGTTTGGGCAGGATAAGGTGGTTGCGGATGTGGCCATGTTCCTGTTCCCCTAGCAGATCTCTAGTTTCCTTCCTGAGAACCTGCTTCGTGGGGAAAACATGCATTGTCAAGACTTGGCACTCCTCTTCCTCTCATCCATAGAAGACCTTTCTTTTCTGCTCAAAACTGTTCCTTCTCTCTCACATGTTTGCATCTTACATGCCCAGTGCACGCTTCCATTCGGTCTGTCAGCAGTACCTATTATATGTTGGGCTCTCGGCTAGGCCCCAGGCTGCACCAGAGTTTCATGGACACGATCCAGTGAGCAGGCCATAACTAAACCATGTGTTAACCCCAGGGTGCCAGCCTGAAGACCTGGGGGAGTCTAGAGGCCATGACCCCACTAGAATCAATTCTTGATGACTGGACAAGAACTCTTGTCACCAGAAAGAGTGAAGGGGCCTGCCTTCATCTAAACAGCTGGTAATCACACAGCAATACCCCATTTCCCTTCTCCTTTGACTAAGATACATTCACCACCCCTTCCCCAGCCCTGGCTGCCCTGCTGTGACCACATTAAGACTTGGCCTGAGATGGAGGAAGAGTAAGGAAGCTGCTGCACCCATATGACTGACTGAAGCTGCCCAAGGCCCGAAAAGGAGGAAGTGGATAGGTGCCTTATCCAAAAGGATACAGCAGCCCAGGTCTTATCAGGAGGCAGCAGCTTCCTTACTCGTTCCCCCACCCGTGACCAAGTCACAGTGTGCCACAGTACTGCAGGCAGCTGTGTGGGAGGAAGAGGAGCCATAGAACTGTGGGCTAGAGCTGTATACAGACCAGTTCATGGTTTTACTATCCCAAGCAGCAAGCAGTGATGGCTTAGACCAGGCAGGGGTGGGGAACATCCGGCCTGCCAAATCATTTGGTCTGGCGCTGCCAAGGCCTCACCAAAGAGCAGCAGTTCCAGCCATCACATTAGGGGTGAGTTAATTAAATGTTTGACCAAATATAGCAGGCTAATTTTTTTTAATATGTCTATTGATTTCAGAGAGAGGAAGGAAGAAGAGGAGAGAGAGGTAGAAACATCAATGGTGAGAAAGTCATTGGCTGCCTCCTCCCCTACTGGGGGTCAAGCCCACAACCAGGGCATGCGGCCTGACTGGGAATCTAACCGCGATCTCCTAGGTCGATGCTCAACTGCTGAGCCACGCCAGCTGGGCAGCAGGCTAATTTTTAAGTTGATAATTTAGTATGGCCTGTGAATGATGTTATAAATATCCAAATGGCCCTTGGCAGAAAAATGGTTCCCCAACCCTGGCTTAGACTAGCATGGTGGTAGTAGAAATAGCATGAAGATTCAAGGGACATAGTTTAGAGGCAGCAACAACGGGACTTGGTGATAAACTACTCTCAGGAAAAGGGAGGAGTCTTGGCTTTTAGCCATCAGCATCTACCCCCAGAGTGGCCTCACCCCCTTCCCTTCCTGGCAATCCTAGAAACCATATGGGTCCAGGGCCTAAAGCCTTTTGCTCTACCTACTGCTCAGTAAGTGGATTCAAGTTTGATAAGAGAAGACTTCCTGTGGTGGAAGCTGAAAGGAAGAGGAAGAAGTTAGCCCATTCCTGCCAAGAAGGCTGTGGGAGAAGGAAGATGGCCAGAGCTTTGTGTCCACTTCATGCCCTCTGGCTTCTGGAGTGGGTGCAGATGCTCTTGGGACCCGGTGCTGCTCCTCCAGCCTGGGCCTTGAACCTGGACCCAGTGCAGTTCACCTTCTACACGGGCCCCAATGACAGCTACTTTGGGTTTTCATTGGACTTCTACAAGGACAACCGCGGCAGGTGAGCCATAGGGGAAGTTTGGGTGTTGCGAGAAAGAAGGATTCCCCCACCATCACTGCTTCTGTGGGCCTTGAGTTCCCTATTTGTGATAGAGGTTGAGCAAAGTGACTTCTAGGGTCTCTTTGGGCTGAGTTCTTGTTAGGAATACTGGGGAGGAACCTGCTCTGCTAAGGGTATCCAGAGGGGCACCAATGGGGAGTTGGGCACTGAAACTACCCCAAAAACAA